CTTCCCAATAAATTTTCGTGGCTAAAAGTGTTACTGATGATCTCTTCCCAATAAATTTTCGTGGCTAAAAGTGTTACTGATGAACTCTTCCCAATACATTTTCGTGGCTAAAAGTGTTACTGATGAACTCTTCCCAATACATTTTCGTGGCTAAAAGTGTTACTGATGAACTCTTCCCAATACATTTTCGTGGCTAAAAGTGTTACTGATGAACTCTTCCCAATACATTTTTGTGCCTAAAAGTGTTACTGATGGTCTCTTCCCAATAAATTTTCGTGGCTAAAAGTGTTACTGATGATCTCTTCCCAATACATTTTCGTGCTGAAAGTGTTACTGATTATCTTTTCCCAATAAATTTTCGTGGCTAAAAGTGTTACTGATTATCTCTTCCCAATACATTTTCGTGCTAAAAATCCCTTAGTGACCTTCTTCAGATAGATTATCATGGTAAAAGAACCTTTGGTGATATTTTGTCATAATTAGAAAAAATGACCACAGTCTTTTGTGTTGTTAATAAGTTCCATGATTTTTCTTATAAAGATATGATCAGCATATGTATCCTTTACTACTCTCCATGCCTTATTTCCTTCTTCTGCAGTTCTGTAAAGATATAACCACTAACGACACTAAAAATCCATTTCATTGATCAGTAAGAAAACGTTCATAATGAGAAACAGATGATTGCAACACACTAAAATAAACGTTTGGTCATGATACTACATAACACAGATTACCCTGTGCTGTTAACCTGTAAATTACCGTCTTGTTTTTGTACTACTGACTCCAATTATTGCGCTATATTGAGTAATGTTATTTTATGCTTTTGTTTCTAAATGGAAAGAACTGACCCCAACGCTTGGGAAAATCCTTCATTTTCTAAGCCAAATACATAGATGTCATCAGTAATTAGTAGGATTAGTTGCAATATTGGTGACATTCTTGTATAAATTTTACTGTAACGAACCTACAAGCATCTTGATGCATAAATAGTTTAGAAAAATGGACTTGAAAAGCTACTGGATTCTGACATCATTAGTAATTATAAGGTCATGTAAAACTGAATAATAATAACATTTCAGAAATGTTACATAAAAGCTAATTTTGGAAACACAGGTGGACAAATAAAGCAGTAGCTATATTCTGAAACAGGATGGTCTGGCGTAGGATTTACCTTAAATAGCTGCTGGGACAGAGATTTCCATAATTATCTTCGCATGAGAAGAATAGGATACAAAATCATATAGACACCCCTCATTTAAGTTGCACAGGCTTCTTGTGTAGTTCTCCTAAACCTTAGTTTACCTGTGCCAAAGTTCAAGGGAGATAAATCCCCAACGTAATAACTTCTAGAATTCTCTAAACAACCTCTTGGAATGAGTATGATCCCACTTCAAGAAGGCATGACAATAAAATAATAAAAAGCAAGTATAAGCTTATGAAACAATTATTGTAACGTGCAAACTTGATCATACGTAGAGAATCAGTGGAATAAAGTTTATGACTTTCCTACATACGACTTACAAAAATTAGATGCAGAACCTCTGCATGAAAATTTCAACAAATCACCTAAATATTCCTAACTTAAAATATATTCTTCATTGTCATAGAGGTATAAAATATGGGGATATTGCATATCATCCCCCTTCTTATTTCAGGGTATTCATTGACCTGAACCTTAAAATTAATTTGAAGTGCCAGATTAGAACCTAAACACAATATAGTAAGTTCCAGTATTCGTCTCCTCTGATTATATCCTAACATCATGTTAGCTACATCTACCAAAGTAACACAAATGCTTCAACGGGCAGTTACAAAATAATATTATATAAGAGTCAAATAAATTTAAAATTAACAAAATATCAATACATAACAAGAATCGGAATAAGTCATAATTACAATAAAATAAAAATCGTGAGAAAACGCAGATACATGTATAGACATACAAAATCGTGAAATAAGCCAAAAGCTTGGTAGAAAATTAAGCTCAGTATAAATCAAAATAAAGCTGAAATACGAAGTTAAAGGAATAATTGTTGCTCACAGAGTCTTAAAATATTTTTACTACCCATTTATTGTAAATACAACTGATCCAGACGGTTTACTTCAGAAAAATAGTCGTACTTGGAACTGTCCTCGAAAATATTGTAGAATGGAATCACAACTTCGACCAGCCTGATTTAGACCAAATAATGTTTTTATTTTGTATTTAAAAGCAGTTTTTAATTTTCAATGATCTTCTTTTCATCTGCTAGTGATTTCACTGCTGTAAAAACCAACGTTGATTCTCTTTGAGGAGCAATGTATCTTTTCATTTAAAACATAAAATTTCTGAAGCTTTCTGATGTTCATTACTTCTATAACTTCGTCGTTTTATACAAAGTTCTTCAGTAATTATTTCAACATTCCAAAGAAAGTATTCACAAAGAAACGTTAGTAGAGGCTGAGCATTTACTCAGCAGGGGTATGGTCCATAAAAGCGGGCCCAAGGTATCTAGTCACAACCTGGAAAACTAAAGACAATTAGTGAATTCAATATCAATGGTGATTGCTGACCTGCAATATTTCAAAATATCTAACGTTATTTTACTTACAGAGTATTTATTTTTCTTCATAAGTATTTAAATTAAAACATGAATTTCCTTGTCCATTGACATCCAAAGTTCTGAAATGAATGTCCATTTCATTGGTCTGTAATTTATTAGTTAAGGTTTTGTTAACAATGGAGACAAAAGACAACTGCTCGTTCATTGATGTTGTCAAGATTTATTTGCTATAAGTCGTGATAACATAAATTATTAAACAGAAGAAGTTTCACTAACTGGATTTTTTTTTTCAAAACACAACTTAAAATGGCACGTGAACAATGATGAGTCACTAACTTTAATGTCTATAGAACTTTCGTCATCAACAGATAATTGCTGTCAGGGGTTAAGTTCTCAATAAAAATGTGCCCTACTCAACGGGCAATTAAATAAAATTCGTAATTGTAAACTTAACTTAGATGTTGCTTTTGGTTTTTATAAATATTGACCTCGTAGTTGATTGTGGGTCACAAATAATGGAAAAGAAGTACTTGTTAGTTTCCTTATTAACAGAGCTTGATGCAGGACCGTTGTTTTCCCCATATTGGTAAGAAGTCATTTGGTTTCCTTCTCAACTTGCACTGTGTCTATGTTACGTAACCTGCCTCCTAAGCATGAACTTTCAACATTTTTTTGGAATCATTCATGTGGATTTTTAAGACAAGCTCACCCATATTAGAAATGCCACATACAAAGGGCACATTGTGCTTTATGTTTATCAAAGCAGTCACACAGTAAACAATGTTTATAAATCCAATTGTCAAGCTAACGCTTCTCAAAAATACATTTGCCTGCAAGCATGTTGTCTTCTATTCAAAAATGGTCGAAATATCGAAATATTCGTTGCTGCAAAACATAATAATATTAGCAGGATAAATGATCATTAAAGAACTTTTCTAGTTGAGAGTAGTGATAGCAGTGGTAAGGTCATTCCTACCTTAACA